TTTTTAAAAAATGTATTTTTATTGATTTCAGAGAGGAAGGGAGAGAGAGAGAGAGAGAGAGAGAGAGAGAGAAACATCAATGATGAGAGAGAAGCATTGATCGGCTGCCTCCTGCACGCCCCCTACTGGGGATCGAGCCCGCAACCCAGGCATGTGCCCTTGACTGGAATCGAACCCGGATCCTTCAGTCCACAAGCTGACGCTCTACCCACTGAGCCACACGGGCTAGGGCTGTAGCTCACTTTTAACCAGCACGTTCGTGGTGTGTACCGCACACCACGCACAATCTCACTGGGCCCTCATTACCACTCCCAGCTCCCCCATCACACATAACAGGGAGTGGAGGTCAGGAGACGGTCAGTAGTTTGCCTGATGGGCTGGTCATTTGGCTGGTCAGCGAGGAGGTGGGGGCTCAAACCCCCCCCCACTGCTGCCCAACCCAGAGTCGGGCCCCCAGCTTCCCAGCCTTGCCCCGGCCCGAGGCCCGGCTGACCCGGGGTCCCGTCGGGGGGGTAGGAAGGAGATCCTGCAGGAATACCTGGAGATCAGCAGCCTGGTGCAGGACGAGGTGGCGGCCATTCACCAGGAGATGGCTGCAGCCGCTGCCCGCATCCAGCCCGAGGCCGAGTACCACGGCTTCCTGCGGCAGCACGGGTAAGATGGCCTTGGACTTGCTGCCCCTCCTCGCCCCTGCCCGGCACCGGAGCTGCTGGCCTGTCCCCTGACCGGGCCCTGTCCCCCCCGCAGGTCCGTCCCTGACGTCCCACCCTGTGTCACCTTCGATGAGTCGCTGCTGGAGGAGGGCGAGGCCCTGGAGCCGGGGGAGCTGCAGTTGAATGAGCTGACGGTGGAGAGCGTGCAGCACGCGTGGGTGGCAGGCCGGCACGGGGCGGGCGCTGTCGGGCTGCAGGGGTTGTCTGAGGGGCGGCTCCAACCTGCCCTTCCTCCTGGCACAGGCTGACTGCAGTGACCGATGAGCTGGCTGCGGTCACCCAGATGGTGCTCAGCCGGCAGGAGATGGTCGCTCAGCTGCAGCGTGAGCTCCGGCACGAGGAGCAGGCCATCCACCCTCGGCAGCGGTGAGAGGTCC